TTCAGACGTGTGCTCTTCCGATCTCCCCAAAACCCCAAAACCCCAGACTGTTCAGTTTGAAACATTTAAATGATTATAATGAAATCAATATTAGAATCTTCTATTAAGTCTTTTAAAGTCATAGTTTCTACGACATTCTTCAACTAGCTGAACATAGGTATTAATAAAGCCATCAGAATCAACTTCCATTGAGACTTTTTGTAGAATTTGTACGAGTCTCTTGCTTTCAACGTTAAACGGTATTAATTGAATCAGTTTAGCCTTCTTAAGATCTTCTATCATCTCCTTCATTTCTCTCAGTATTGGTCTTTTTAATTTCAGAGGAGTCTCTTGCACTTTCTTGGTATCAATAGTTAATTAGAGTCTCACACGAGGAGAATATTCTCCATCTTAGTCACTGTCAAGAACTTGAACTTAATTGTTAAAAGAGATGTGCTTCTTATTCTTGGGACTTTGTTCAATAGGTGGCTTGCTAGAAATTTTGAAAGGATCAATAATTGTAGATTCGTCCTTCTAATCTTCCTCCTTAATAAAACCACTTTCATCCTCCCATTTGCTTATAGTGGGTTATTCAATAATCTTGGTTTTAATTTTAAATGGATTACTTGCTGAAGCAGGTTCAAGGATTGATTGACTCTTATAGTTGCCTCTCTAACTATTTATTCTCTCAAGGAAAGAGGACTATTTTTTAAGAGCAGGCGAAAGCATAGGTGATTGAATATGCTTACCAGGAGTGCCTAAGATACTTGGATCAGTATTTAGGGGTGGAAGAGTCTTACCAAATTTGGAATATCTAGGAGATTTCAGTCCATATTCATTTCTCTTGGGAGTTTTCTTCTTTGGACTCTGTTGTGTAAACTGGTCATAAACAGTATCAATTCTTTGAATGAGCTCAATGAATCTCTCATTGGTGGCTCTAGTTTTCGAAGTAAAGCCATCCCTTGACTCATTTCTAGAAACTTAATCTATAAAACTTTGGAAGTTGATCTTTTCTGCAAATTTTCTAGGGTCAATGGCTACATCCTGCAAGTTATCAGGTCTCATAAAACTAGCGTTTTGAAGTAATCTTCCCATTGATTTATTCTTGGTTAGTCCTCCTTTCTTATTGAGTCCACCCTTACTTGAACCTCTAGAAGTCCTAATCTCAGGGAGCTCAGGACCTTTATCAATATCAGATATCAGCATATTCATCTTATCCTTGGCCCTTTGCTACTCAAGCATTTTCCTCATTTGCTATTCTAAAGGGTTTAATAAACTTGCCCTCCTAATCGCTGTTGCTGGATTGACATTGCTAGGGTTTGGCTTTGCTTTGTATTCAAATTTATTTTCTGTAAGACCCATTGATTCTAATTAAACCTAAAACTTCTAAGGATCTTTAATAGCTTTATACAAGGCCTACACCTATTCCTTTGATTTATTGAAGTAGCTACTCTTATCCAGGAAATAGTCCAGATTATAAACCTTATGCTATTGCCTGCTTTTGAAGGCATCTTCGAAAGCAACTTCAGCTTTTTTCTTTACATCTCTACCATCTAGCTTCTTAAATTCATCATCAGCTTTACCCATCAATATATCTTAAAGCTCAGATGCTGCATTCTTATATAAATCCTTGCCAAATAGCTTGTTCAATTCCTTAATAAGCAAGAATCTTTACTTTTATTCTTCAAACTTCTCACTCTTCATAAGATATTCTTCAAGTTTTTAAAGTTGAGTTGTCTCTCTATCATTATTCGCATCATACTCTCTTGAATCATTATTGCTTGTTGTCATGTTGTTCCTTTCCTCCTAGTCTTTGGCTTTCCTGATTTCTAGCATCCTTTTAGAGCTAAATAAGAAATGCATCAAAGGTAGATTTCTTTATTTGTAATAGTAGAACGTTGGGAGAGATTTTTTGGTTGTAGAGAAAAATCTTAAAATATCAGCATTGATACCTTTCTCTTCTTGAGGCTCGAGCATTGGTTCTTGAATTATAGAATTATGCCTCTCCTTTTTTCTGGGTGAAGTGTCAAACTGCTCATTCAGCATTTTATCATCATCAAATGAGCCAAAACTATCGTCTATTTTTTCTAAAGACATGCTATTTTTGTTTTCTTCATCCTCTCCTTCCTTTGCTCCATTTTTAACTATACCTGGCAATACCATCTTATTTAAACGCATATGCTTGAGCTTTTCCTCTATCTTCTTGAATATATCTTTCATCAATACTGTTTTCCACTCATTAAAGAATTTCTTATCTGAGCAGTCTAGTTTCATATAGTCCTTTATCTTATAAAGGTAAACCTTAAGGGATTCATCGAGAGTAAACTAGAAGTCAAGCAGCTGGGAAAACTTAGGATTTTTCTTTAGGTATGGTATTATCTAAGTCAGAGAAATGAAGACAATATCCATCATATTCTTCAGCATATTATTAGCTTATTCATCAAGATTTGTCATCTACTATAATCTATAACAATGTAACTAAATGTATCTTAGTAATCCTTTAAAATCTAAGAATCCATTTAGATTGCCCTTGCAGTTTTAAATCAGTGGCTCGACTTGCAAGGATACTCTGGGCTCATTGAACACATATGATTCAAAAGCGTTGTCAATAGTGGAGTTAATCCACACAGTCAAACTTATCTTAATTGTGAATTTCTATTCTGGCTAGACTTTTTAAATTTCTAATCCCTCTCCTTTTTTGTGGACTAATTCAGGTGTGTTTTAAGATGATTATAGATTTGAATATTCCTCTGGATTAGAAGCAATCTTTTTCATAAAATAAAATGGCTTGCAAATGTTCCTAGACACTCTGCAAGGGAAATGTTTTTTGTAATGATAATAATCCAAGAGAGTATCCTTTGAAGTTCTTGGAATAATTTCTATAACTGTGCCAGCACCTTTATTTACAATCCAGTTACTCATCTAGTTCTTATAGTAGTTTACATGGTCTCGTCGATTCATGTCATTTTCTAATTCAATAAAATTCTTTGGGATAGTATAAGATTCAAGCATGAAATTTCCCATTCTAAAATTATCAGGCAAAATATCCCTAATTGATTAGAATAGTTTTTAAAACTGATCAGGATCTAGCAGATGCTCAATACCCTGTATCTAATTAACCATTAAAGTCTTCTCTTATACTTATGGACCTGCTTTGTAATCCCTATAAGAATAAATTAAAACTTTCATTCATAAGTGTAATTAAAAGAAATAATATTGAAATTACCTGACTTAAATCCACAAAAAATCAACTGTTTCTGAAATGGCTTGAAGTTGAGCAGACTCTTTGCTCCATCTAGAAGCCTTGCGGCCTTCAATAAAGGAATCAATGATGAAGCAATCCTTATAAATCTTGATTGAGTATTTTTTAAGCTAACTGATGATTTATTTATCCATTTATTTTGATGAATATTTAGTTAAGAAATCTCAAACTCACTTATTATAAATCAGACTTGGGGTTTTGGGGTTTTGGGGTTTTGGGG